CTGGTTTCGAACTCCTGAGCTCAAACAATCCGCCCGCCTCGGCCTCCCAGAGAGCTAGGATTACAGGCGTGAGCCACCGCGCCCGGCCTATTTCCTCAGTTTTTTACTGAAGTCCTTTTCAGTTGCAGATACCACACATTACATGCCACAACATTACTGTCATATTTCTTTAGGCTTCTCTTGGCTGTCACAATTAAAGATTTTGTTTTTTACTTTTTGCAGTACTTTCCACTTTTTTGCAATGATCATGAATTACCTTCACGATTAAAATATAAGTATTATTAAAATTATATTTAATTCTCAACCCTCATATCATTGATTATCTAGTTTCTTGGACCCATCTTCTACCCTTTTTGGTCTGTTCTCTTTTCAAACTCTGATTGCCCTCCACATAATCTTCTATTTGTTCTATGGCATTAAAAAGTTGGCTTTCAATTCCAGAGGAGGCATGATGGGCTTCCTGGGCCTTACAGAATATCAAAAAAGAACTGCCATTTGGCTCACTCATCTCCTTAAAGAGGATACTTTGGTAATTCATAGGCCTAATTCAGCATATCCTACAATTGGGGAGTGAAGATACAGAAAAGGAGACTGACTGCCAGCAAACTCGGCCATGAGTATGATAGTACATTGATGTGTATCCCAATCATTCTATTTTTTCCAAAGTCTACACATATCCCCAAGCTGAACACTTAAGCTTAAAGGACACTAAATCTGGAGTAAAACTATTCTCTATAGAACAGACATTGGATAATCAGCAAAAACTTATCAGAACCCCTGCATCACACCATGTACAGAAATTACCTCGAAGTGGACCAATACCTAAATTTAAGAGTTTAAAATAAAAATAACTTCAATAAAACATATCTGTAAATCTGTGTGACCTTGGATTAGGCAATGGTTTCTCAGATATGATGCCTAAAACACAAGTAACCAAAAATAATAAATAAATTGGACTTCACCACAGTTACATAAAAGTTTTTGCTTCGAAGTATTATTAAGAAAGTGAAAAGACAACCAGAAGAACGGGAAAAATATTTACAAATCATAAAGCTGATAAGAGTGTAACATCCAGAATGTGTGAAGAAGTCTTATAACTCAACAATAACAAGACAAAAAAATAAAAATGGGCAAAGGATTTCAATAGACTGTTCTAAAAAAAAAAACACTATGCAAATTAAATTAGCATATGAAAAGACACTATCACTAGTCATTAGGGGAATACAAATGAAAAGCGCAATGAGAAGCCACCTAGGGCTATAATTAAAAAGACAATAACAAGTATTGTGAAGGAAATAGAGAAAGTGGAACCCTCATACATTGCTGATAAGAAAGTAAAATAACCCAGCCACTTTGGAAGAGTTTAGTAATGCCTAAGAAATGTTAACCATATAGTTACTACATGAACTATAATTTATATGAAATGTCCAGAACAGGCAAATCCATAGAGACAGAAAACAGATTGTCAGGGGATGGGGGAGGAGTGAATGAGGAGTGATTGCTAATATTTATGAGATTTCTTTCTAGGATGATGAAAACATTTTGAAATTAGATAATAGGGGTAGTTGGAAAACATTGTGAATACACTAAAAAGCACTGAAGTGTGTAATCTTAAAGGATAAATTATACAGTATGTGAATTACAAATCAGTTCTTAAAAATATTTTTTATTTTTATTTATTTATTTGTTTAGTCTGCTATTTTCTTCCTTCATACAGTTTTTTAACATCTTAATTGAGGGACATTCTATAAACATCTGACCAGTAATCCCTACAACTGTCAAGGTCATCAAAAACAAAGAGGAGGCTGGGCGTGGTGGCTCACGCCTGTAATCCTAGCACTCTGGAAGGCCGAGGCGGGAGGATCGCTCAAGCTCAGGAGTTCAAGACCAGCCTGAGCAAGAGTGAGACCCAGTCTCTACTAAAAATAGAAAGAAATTAGCTGAACAACTA